TATAATTAGTATATATAGATATAATATATATATAGATATAAATAGAGAGAGAATAAAGATATATAGGATCGAAAATTAGAGAGAGAGAAATAATATAAGAGAATAGATAAGATAATATACTGGATAAGATATAGAGAGATGCGATAGATAGAGAGAGAGATAGATAAGTAGATCGAGATGATATGATATAGTAGAAGATAGCTATGTCTATATATAGATATATATATATCTAGATATATATATATATAGATATATATATATATTATAGGTATATCTATATCGATAGTGAGCTAGATAGAAATATATATAGATTATAGATATATAGAGGTCTATATCTATATGATTATCTATAGATATGATATCTTCTATCTATAGATAAATATATATATAGATAGGAAGCTAGATATAAAATCTCTAGATAGAATATATATAGTATCTTTATAGTATATAAGTATAAGAGATAGTATATATGAGATATATATAGCTATAGATATATAGAGATCTACAGAGATAGTTATAGCTAGATATATAATTAAAGAGATGAGGTTCAGAATATATATATATAGAGATATAGACAGGATATGAGATCGATCGATAGATACAATATATTATAGATATAGAGATATATACTAATAGGATATCGATGATATAGAGACAGAGAGAGAGAGCGCTGAGAGAGACATAGATATGAGACATACGATATCTATATAGATCTATAGGATATCTATATAATAGTAATAACATATAGATTATATATATCTAGAGATATGATAGATTAAAACATATATATTAGATCTATATATATATATGATAATATAGATATAATATATATATTAGATATAGAGAGGATTTTCGATATAGTAGATAGATATAATAGATTCTATATATATGTAAATAAGATATACATATTATATATATATATATATATATATATAGATATAAATAGTAGATATAGATATATACATATATATATATAATACATATATATTCTTAATACCTATAATATATTTACATATATATATATCATCTACATCTACTATATAAATAAGGTAGTATATGAGATATATAATATATAGAGATATATATATTAATATATAGCTCATATATATACATATATATGACATATAGAATATAGAAGATATATAGATAATATATATATATATACAGTAGATCTAAGATATATTATATATATATATATACTATATATCTTATAATATATAGATAATATATAGATCTATATATATTATATACATATATAGTATATCGATATCTATACATATATATATATATATATATATATGATAGATATATAGATATATATATATACATATATATATACAGATATATTATATATAATAATTATACATATATATTATATATTTAGATTATCCAGTAATATATAAGATTAATATAATATATAGACATATATATATAATATATATTATATATATATATATACATTTAGTACGATATATATATATATATATACATAGATATTATATTATAATATATATATACATATATATTATTGGATATATATAGACTCTATATAGATATAATAAATGATATTTATAATATATATACAGATATATATCGGGATATAGATTAAAACATATATATATAGGTATAATATTTACATATATTTATATGGTATATATATATATATAATATATCATATATAATAATAATATTATAGATAATATAGATATATAACATATAAATAGATTATATGTCAGATATATATATATTAGATTATTATACTATATATATATATTATTATATCTATATATATATATACACCACACACATACATATTTAAAAAAACATATATATACGTTGTGTATATAACGTATGCATGCGTGTATTTGTTTATCCATACATCTGTGAATTGGGTTTCAGAAATTCATAATCGTATCAGTCTTGTCATTACATATCGTGATCATTCACGTAATGGCATTTGCCCTGAATTTAATGTTACTCGCATATATACATCTTCCTCGGGATTCGGCTATATGATCGTGAATGCACATGCATTTGCATATACAAATTTAAGCGCGTTTGTAAGAGAGAAAGGGAGGGGGGAAGGTGGAAGGGAGAGAGGGGGGAGGAAAGTAGGAAGGTAGAGAGCGAGAGAGAGGGAGAGAGGAGGAGAGAGCGAGAGGAGAGGGAGAGGAGGAGAGACGCAGAGAGAGAGGGAGAGGGAGAGAGAGAAGCAGAGAGGGAGAGGGAGAGAGGAGAAGCAAGAGAGGGAGAGGGAGGGAGAGAGGAGGAGAAGCAGAGAGGAGAGGGAGAGAGAGAGAAGCAGAGACGGGAGAGGGAGAGAGAGCGACGACGAGACAGCAGAGGAGGGAGGAGGGAGGGAGAGGAGAGAGAGAGCGAAAGCAGAGAGGGGAGGGAGAGAAGGAGACGCAGAGAGGGAGGCGAGAGAGAGGAGAAGCAGGAGAGGGAGAGGGAGAGAGAGAGAGAGAAGCAGAAAGAGGGAGAAGGGAGAGAGGAGAGAAGCAGAGAGGGAGAAGGGAGAGCGAGAGAGAGAAGCGAGAGGGAGAGGAGATGAGAGAGAAGCCAGAGAGGGAGAGGAGAGAGAGAGAAGAGAGAGGGAGAGGGAGAGAGAGAGAAGAGAGAAGCAGGAGAGAGAGGGAGAGGAGAGCAGAGAGAGAAGCAGAGGGGAAGGGAGGAGAGAGAGAAGCAGATAGGGAGTATGAGGGAGAGGAGACGAGAGAAGCAGAGGGGAGAGAGAGAGAAGCAGAGAGGGAGAGGTGAGAAGAGGAGAGAGGAAGCAGATGAGGGAGGAGGGAGAGAGAGAGAGAGAGAGCAAGAGAGGGAGAGGGAGAGAGAGAAGCAGAGAGGAGGGGGAGAGGGAGGAGGAGAGGGAAGAAAGCAGAGAGGGAGAGGGGCGAGAGGGATGAGATGAGAGGAGAAGCAGGAGGGAGAGAGAGAGGAGAGAAAGGCAGGGAGAGGGAGAGAGAGAGAGAGACGCAGAGAGCGGGAGAGAGAGGAGAAGAGAAGAAGAGAGGGGAGAGGGCGGAGGAGAGAGACGCAGAGAGGGAGAGGGAGAGAGGAGAGATGAGAGAAGCAGAGAGGGAGAGGGAGGAGAGAGAGAAGCGAAGGCGGGTAGAGGGAGAGAGAGAGAGAGCAGAGAGGGAAAGGGAGGGGAGAGAGAAGCAGAGAGGGAGGGGGGAGAGGAGACAGGAGAAATGCAGAGAGGGAGAGGGAATGAGAGGAGAGAAGCAGAGAGGGAGAGGGAAGGGAGATGAGAGAGAAGCAGAGAGGGAGGAGGGGAGCGAGAGAGGAAGCAGAGAGGGAGAGGGAGAGAGAGAGAAGCAGAGAGGGAGCAAGAGGGAGAGAGAGAGAGACGCAGGAGGGGCGGGAGAGAGAGAGAAGCAGAGAGGTGCGAGGGAGAGAGAGGAGGAAAGCAGAAGAGGGGAGAGGGATGAGAGAGAGAGAAGCAGAGAAGGGAGAGGGAAGAGACCGAGAGAGAGAAGCAGAGAGGAGAGGGAGAGAGAGAGAAGCAGAGAGGGGGAGGGCGAGGAGAGGACAGCAGAGAGGGAGAGGGAGAGAGAGAGAAGCAGAGGGGCGAGGGAGATGAGAGAAGCAGAGAGGGAGAGGGAGAGAGGAGAGAAGCAGAGAGGGAGAGGGAGAGAGAGAGAAGCAGAGAGGGAGAGGGAGGAGAGAGAGAAGCAGAGAGGGAGAGGGAGAGGGAGAGGAGAGAGATGGGAGAAGCAGAGAGGGAGAGGGGGAGAGAGAGAGGCAAGAGAGAGAGAGCAGAGGAGGGAGGAGGAGAGAGAGAGAACAGAGAGGGAGAGTGAGGGGATGAGAGAGAGAAGCAGAGAAGGGGAGGGAGAGAGACGAGAAGCAGAGAAGGCGCGAGGAGAGAGAGAGAAGCAGAGCGGGAGAGGGCGGGAGAGAGAGGAGAGGAGCAGAGGACGAGGGAGGGAGAGAGCGGGAGCCAGAGAGGGAGAGGGAGAGAGAGGAGAAGCAGAGAGGGAGAGGGAGAGAGAGAGAGAGAAGAGAGAGGAGGGGAGAGGAGAGAAGAAGAGAGGGAGAGGGAGGAGAGAGGAGGCAGATAGGAGAGGGAGAGAGAGAGAAGCAGATAGGGAGGGGGAGGAGAGAGAGAACGAGAGAGAAGCAGAGAGGGAGAGGGCGAGAGAGAGAAGCAAGAGAAGGAGAGGGAGAGAGAGATGAGAAGCCAGGAGAGGGAGAGGGAGAGGGAGAGCGAGAGAACGGAGAAAGCAGAGGAGGGAAGAGGGGAGAGGAAGCAGAGAGGGAGAGGGAGAGAGCGAAGCAGAGAGGGAGAGGGAGACGGCGGAAGCAGAGAGGGAGAGAGACGGAGGAGAAGCAGACGCGGTGCAGAGAGAGAGAGAGAAAGGCAGAGCGGGAGGAGAGAGAGAGAGAAGCAGCGAGGGGAGAGAGAGAGAGAGACGGCAGCGAGGGAGAGAGAGAGAGAGAAGCAGAGAGGGAGAGGAGAGAGAAGAGAAGCAGAGAGGGAGAAGAGGAGAGAGGAGAAGCAGCGAGGGAGAGGGAGAGAGAGAAGCAGAAGAGCGGAGAGAGAGAGAGAAGCAGAGAGGGAGAGGGAGAGGGAGAGAGAGAAGCAGAGAGGGAGAGAGAGAAGCAGAGAGGGAGAGAGAGAAGCAGAGAGGAAGGGGAGAGAGGAGAAGCAGAGAGGGAGAGGGAGAAGAGGAGAGAAGCAGAGAGGGAGAGGGAGGGAGAGAGAGAAGCAGAGAGGGAGAGGGAGCAGGGAGAGAGAGAAGCAGAGAGGGGAGGGAGAGGGAGAGGAGAGAAGGAGAGGGAGAGGGAGACGAGGAGAAGCAGAGGAAGAGACGAGCAAGCAGAGAGGAGGAGAGAAAAAAACAAATGCTCTTGGATAGATAGCTCAAAAACCGCCGTTAGGCTAGTTTCGTGGGTTGTGAGAGGAAGGAAGAGTATCATTTCAGTAGGATACGGCGGAAAATACCATTGGCGCAACACGAGAGAGGGAGCCTTCCACCCCGTGCCAGAAGCCCATGCAGTATTCAAAGAGGAAACTCGTCCCGCCCAATGGTAGAGGGGGGAGGGGGTACGGGTATAGCGAGAAGGCAGGGCGGGAGGAGAGGGGGAGGAGGGAATGAGAGAGGAAAGGAAACAGAGGAGCAGGGAAGAAGGGGAAAACATAAAACCAAATGGAAAGGAAACTGATGAAGAAAAGTTTAATAATATAATAGGGGAATGAGAAAAAGAGGAAAGAAAGAGAAAAGGAGGAGGGAGATGGGAGGAGGATAAGAGATAGAGGAAAGGGACAGAAAACAAGTTGTATATGTAGATAAAGTAGATTATAAAGGAGACACAATTTCGACTACTAGAGGAAATAAAAAAGATGAGTGATTAAAGATAAGGAAGATAGCAAGAAAGATAGGTATAGGAAAAATTAATAGCTGAAGGGGAAAACTGAGAGAGATTACAATAAGATTCAAGAAAAACTGATAAAAGCAGGAAAATGAGCAAATGGGAAATGCGAAACATAAAGCAATGAAAAAAGTAAGAAAAGGGAAAATCAAAAGGCTGTAATGTTTTAAAAATCACATAATTCACACTTAAACTCGGCGGACCTTTGGCATACAGACTCACGTGCGCCGCTTAAAGGTATTTGTAAACATTACGATGCATGTATTCGGCTCGTATGGTTTTTTTTTTTTTTTTTTTTTTTTTTTTTTTTTTTTTTTTTTTTTTTTTTTTTTTTTTTTTTTTTTTTTTTTTTTTTCTTTTTTTTTTTTTTTTTTTTTTTTTTTTTTTTTTTTTTTTTTTTTTTTTTTTTTTTTTTTTTCTTTCTTTTTTTTTTTTTTTTTTTTCTTTTTTTTTTTTTTTCCGGCGGCCACGCACGGAAACTCGCACACGCGCATACATACACATATGCATAAATATATATTTGTATATATATATATATTTATTTATTTATTTATTTATTTATATATTTATATATATTTTTTAATTTACCTATTACTTATATATGTATCGATATATATTTAATAGATTTTTTATTTAATATTTAATATATTATTTATTTATATATTTAATATTATATTTTTATTTACATTATTTATTCAGATATTTGATATTAGTTATATGTATTTATTCATTAATTATATTTATATTATTTATTGTAGTTATATATTTATTTATTTATTTATTCATATATTTCTATTTATGTGTTGATTTATTCAATATCTAATCTATTATTTATTTATCATATATCTTTATTATTATTACATATATATTATGGATATATTTTATTTATTTAGTTGTATTTAGTTATTTATTTATTTATATATATATAGGTATGGATTTAATATTATATTCATTTATTTTATATATTATATATCTATTTATTTATATATATGAATATATATAGAGATATATATTGATTTGTTATTATATATATATATATATATATATACTATTGTGTGTGATATATATATATAATTATATATATATATATATATAATATTATATATATAGATATATTATATATATATATTGCTTTTATAATTTATAGATATATATATATATATATATCTATATATATTTAATATATATATGTATTATAATATATATATTATAGATAGATTTATATATTTAATATATTATTTATATATATATTATAGATTATATATATATTATCTATATATTTTATAGATTAATATATCTTATAAGATATATATATATATATAATATATAATATATTTTTAATATATGTATATATATATTATATATATATTATATCTATATATACTATATATATATATATAGATATATATATAATATATATATATATATATATATATATATTTATTAGATATTTTATATATATATTTATAATATATTATATTATTATGTTATATAGTATATTATATATATATTTTTAATATATATTATAGATATATATTTAATATATATTATATATATATTATATAATATTATAATATTGTATATATTATTATATCTATATTTATATAATCTATTTATTATATATATATATATATATATATATATTAGATTATATATATATATATATATATAATATATATTATATATAGATTATATCTATATTATATCTATATATATATATATATGTATATATTATATATATATATATAATATATATCTATTATATATATCATTATTATTATATATATATACATATATATATATATATATAATATATATATATTCTATAATATATAGTATATATATATTAATATAAATTATATATATATGTATCTATATATTTATATACTATATTAATATATATTATATATATATTATATATATATTTAATATATATATTTATATAGATATTATATATATATTATATATATTTTATATATATATTATATATATATTTATATTATATAGAGATATAATATATCTTATATATATACTATAAAATATAAATAGATATATATATATATATATATATTAGAATATATATAAATATATAGATAGATCTAATATATATATATATATATATATATTTTTTTTTTTTTTTTATACTATTATATATATATAAATATATATATTATACGATATATATCTAGATTATAGATATATATATATTATAATTATATATAGATATAATATATATATCTTATATTATATATATATATAGATATATAGATATATTATATATTTATGATTTATTATTATATAGTTATATATTTATATAATTTATATGTATAATATATATAGATATATATAGATATATAATTTATATTTATATATGGATATAATATATATTCTATGTTATATATGTATATATATCTATTTTATATTTAATCGGTATATATATATATTATATCTGTATATATATATCTATATATGTAATAATATATTTATATATGTATATATATTATATATTTTATATGTATAGATATAGATGATCTATGTATATCATATTATTCTATATTTATTGTATATATATATATTATCTATTTATATATATATATTATATATGATATATATAATTATATATGTATATATATTATATATGTAATGTATATATATGTCTATTAATACTATATATGTATATATGTATAATGTATATATATATAGGTATATATGTATCTATGATATAAATTATGTATATATGATAATATATATGGATCTATGTTATCTATATATATATGTTATATGTATATATTATATGTAGATATGTATATAATATTATGTATATATATATAATATATGTATATATGGGTATATATGTATATATCTATATTTATGATGTATATTTATATTTATATATATATATTATATATGTATATTATTATATTTATATATATTCTATATCATAATATATCTACTTCTCATCTGCCCCCCCTCACTCGTCTATATTAATCTATCTATATATATATATATCTTAATATATTTTATATATATATTATCATATTTATATAGATATATATATTATTATATATTATATATATATATATAATTTATATAAGATATATATATTATATACTATCATATATATCTATTATATATAATTTATATTATATATTTTATATATATATTATATATATATTATATAATTTATTTTATATATTATATATATTTCGATAATATAGAGATAATTATATATATATATATATAATTATATATATATATATCATAATGATATATTTATTATATTAATTATATATTTATATTATATATAATTATATAATATGATATGATAATATATAATTATTGTATATATAATTAATATATATTAAGATAGATATATAAATATATCAAATATATATATATTATATATTATCTATTAATATATATATAATATATATAGTTATATATATATCATTCTTAATCTTACTATATATATATACATTATTAATATATATACATAATATATATACATATATATATATACATTCGATATATATATACATATATATCTAATATACATACATACACATATACATACATACATAACATACAATATATTACAGAATAATACATACATACATATAATCCATTACATACATTATACATATTATATATATAATCTAATATATATATACAATACATATATCTAATACAAATATATATATATATACATCAACATATATTATATCTAGATTAATATATTATATATACATATATTATATATATATAATATCTACTATACATCATATTACATAATTACATATAATATATATATATTATACATATACATATATATACACATACAATATATATATATATATAGATATATTATATCTATAATATATATATATATATATATCTACATATAATAATACATAATATATATATAATATACATATATACAATATATACATTTCCATAAAATATATACACATATTATATATATACATTACTATCTATATACATATAATATATATATTTCTATCTATATATATATCTATTAATATATATATATATCTCGCTATACTACAATATATATAATATATATCTTATATGATACATATATATTATTTACATAATATATATATTACATATTATAAGATATATATACAATATTATACTATATAGTATCTTCTATATTAATGTATCTATAATAATACATATATTATAGATATAATATATATACTATATAATACTATATTAGATATATATTATATATGTATATATATAGTATACAACAATATCTTTATATATATAGATACATGATATTATATATATATATTAATTAATCGATTATATATATATATTCATATATATACGTATATATATATTAGATATATATATAGAGAATATCGTATATTATAATATATAATCTATATATAATATAGTATATATAT